GCACCGCGGACAGCGGCTCCAGCACCGCGGACAGCGGCTCCAGCACCGCGGACAGCGGCTCCAGCACCGCGGACAGCGGCTCCAGCACCGCGGACGTCGCTCGCCGCTGACATGGCTCCGATCGCGGACAGCCGCCAGCAGTTCGGTAAGCGCGTCCCGGCCCCCGGCGCCCGATGAGCCGGGAGATGCTCGCCTCCCCGGGAGAAGAGCAGCATCTGCCGAGCCTCCCGGTGCCTCCCAGCAAGCAGCTTGTTGGGAGGGACCTGGTTTTCCCCCCGGCTCTCGTCAGGTCTCAGAAGTTGTACGAATTTTCTTTCTTTCCCTGATTTCTCTTCCTTAGTCCCTCCCTGTTCCTCTTTCCTGGTAAAGTACAGGAAGAGATAAAGAGATTTTTGTTAGGTGGGGTTTTGGATGAGAGGGGTTTGGTGTTGTTTTCTGTGTCTCTGTTAAAGTAATGTGCATCAAGAGTTACATGATGTAAATGCATCTTGTGCCACAGAGAAAATCTTTGTTCAAGGAATTATTAAAATAATTGTAATTCATTTTATTCTTATTGTAGGTCAATCCTTAGTTAAAGTGAAAGGACATTGCTAGGAAGATGAAAATATAGGATTTCAGTGTCCTTAACTGAACAGCTCCATCTTAAGCAACTCGGTTTCAATGAGAATAACCAAGATGACAATGAACTTTTCAGTTTTGTCATTTCTATGCCCTGGATGTAGTGAGGTACCAGAAGTTTCAGAAGCAGTCATGTATGTGCAATTATAAAATGCATACATATGTTATTTTAGTGAGAAAAGCAGTAAAAGGGAACATTTCTGAAGTCTGCTTTACAAATATTGACTCTAGCCTACATTACACTTGCTTTTGCAGTGGTTTGATTCAAGGATCATTCCACTGACTTAGTGAAGAGACTCCAGATTTATATCACATAACTAGAAAAATAACTTCTCCCAGAATCAGTAGGTGATGTTTGCTATAAATGCACTGCCTTGAATGTTAAGCAATTGATCCTGACAAAAGCAAAAAATTACTTTTTTGACACAACTAGCTGTAAATATAAAACCATTTTAATTACCATTTCATCTTCTTTCCTATTCTACCCACTTGAGGTTTCTAACCACACTTGTGACATCATGCTTGTCTAATTACTTATTTAAGAAAGATAATTAATATTTTAAACATAAAATTGATTCTACCATTGCTTTCAGTAGTTTTTGAATTAAAGTAGAACATAATATCCATTACTATAAAAAGTCTGTTATCTCATGAGAAAGTATTGTAAATGTACAAACCATTCTTAAAAGATATGTAAGTATTCTGATCAGTTTTGGCTTTCTATTTTATACCATATATATTCAAATTTCTGCAGCCCAGTGAATTCTTGAAACTCAAAACCTCATGCTTAAGTTAGGTTACTTTTTGATTATATATATGGTTGTCAGTCATTAAGTTCTTGCAATTAAGTGTATATACCGGTACAGCTTGTAGTCATCAGGAAAGTTCATAAAAAATTAATAGCCAGGCCTGATCCTATCTGAGCTGGAACATTATGTCCTACTTTGCTCTAATAGTATTGTTGTGGATTTCTTTTTCTGAATCATCGCACTAAAAAGCAAAGGTGTATTGGCAGCACATTTATCTGCTCAGCTTTTGACTGGATGAAGCTGATTTAGTAATGCAGGGGCATAGTTCTCCTTTACTCCTCTAGAAGGACCAAAGAGAAATAGAAATGTTACATAATTGCCTTTATGCATAAACAATGTCACAACATTAATATTCTAATGTGCCTCTACTGTTGTGGGGAAGAAAGGTTAAGCTCTGCTTGTTACATTGTGGGAGGTTTAAACTCACTTAGTAATGTTACTTATGGGCAAAATTGGATTTCTAATTAGTTGTGCTCATTTACCCTTTGATGCATGCTTTGAAGGGCTAATGATACTCCATATGTAAATAATATATCCACTTGGCAATGGAGGTTGTAACACTTGCTCAGGTTTCTCTTTATTCGGGTTAAGTATAATACTCATATTAAAACTGTAGAGAATTATGTTTCAATTTTTTTTTCTTTAATACTCCTAAGAAGTACTGACCCTTTCTGTAAACTGCCCATAAGCTTTGCTTCAGTGTCTTAAATGTAAAGCTTAGTAGCTGTCAATGATAAACATAACAAGATTTTTGAACTTACATGTCCTACCTAATGGCACATCCATCCGGAAAAGGCACTTTTTATATATTTATTCTAAATTTTCTTGATAGGCTTCTTCCTGTAAAGTATTGAAAATCCCAGTGAAACTGTTGAGTGCTATAACCTCCAATTAAACTCACTTCTTTCAAGAGATACCTACAGGCCCTACCTATGGGATCAGACTGAAAAATAGCTGAGTACACAAAGTACTCTAAGAAACACGATGGAAAGCAGATGATGTATCTATAAGTAATATATATTTAGAGTGTGTTTTAGCTAACCAACAAACCTCCATAAAACCAAAGCTGAAAACAGCTGAGAGCTGGTATTATTCACAGATATATAAGCTCAAAAACTACACACAGAGGGTTGAGACAGTAGAGAAATTACGAACAGTGATTATTATTAGGATGGGAATAGTATTTTCCTCCCTAACTCTCCGTGTATGGAAAAATACTAGCATAACAAGCATGCCTTAGAGTGGGACTGCACACTGGTGCCTGCAGGTGGCGAGCAATGTGTACAATTCCAGTCAATCCTGCTGATACCACTGTCTCATACCAGTTTGTTTTGCTAAATTATTGCTTTATTAAATATCATGCAGAATTCAAGGTACTGCTGCTTATGTGCTTGTTGCTATTTATTTAATTTGCAGATGAAATTCCTACAGTGGTTGGGATCTTTAGTGCATTTGGCCTTGTCTTCTCTGTCTCCCTCTTTGCTTGGATCTGCTGCCAACGAAAATCTTCCAAGTCCAATAAGACCCCTCCATACAAGTTTGTCCATGTTCTGAAGGGGGTTGATATTTACCCTGAGAATCTCAACAGCAAGAAGAAGTTTGGAGCAGATGATAAAAGTGAAGCAAAGGACAAATCGGCAATGCCAAAGAATTCTCTCCATCTTGACCTGGAGAAGAGAGATCTAAATGGCAATTTCCCCAAAACAACCACAAAAATGCAGGGCTCTCCAGATCTTGAAAATTCATCTCCTAAGCACTTTGCAGAAAGGAAGAAAGATTCGGTATCCCCTGATAGCTTAAAATCCATCACTTCTCTGTCATCTGAAGATAAACAAGACAAGCTAGGAACTCTCTTTTTCTCCTTAGAGTACAACTTTGAGAAAAAAGCATTTGTAGTGAACATCAAAGAAGCTCGTGGGCTGCCAGCAATGGATGAACAGTCAATGACTTCTGATCCCTACATCAAAATGACAATCCTGCCTGAGAAAAAGCACAAGGTGAAAACTAGAGTGCTGAGAAAAACCTTAGATCCAGCTTTTGATGAGACTTTCACATTTTATGGGATCCCCTACAGCCAAATTCAAGACTTAACACTTCACTTCATAGTCTTGAGCTTCGACAGATTTTCCAGAGATGATGTCATTGGAGAAGTCCTCATCCCCCTCGCTGGAATTGAACTCTCGGAAGGAAGACTGCTAATGGACAGAGAGATCATCAAAAGAAATGTTAGGGTAACATATTTTTTATTCAAAATTTGAAAATGTGAGAGGGTTAGCTACGATTCTTGTGTAATGCTGCTGCTATCTTGGAAAGAAAAGCCAAAAAGCTCACCATGCGATTCCTAAGATGCTTTCCTAATGGTGGTATGAGGAGGCCATTACACAAATGCAACTAAAAAAAATTTACAACAAGCATGTTTAAAGAAATTGATAATGCTCTAAACTCTAATTTCTTATTCATCTGGTACAGCAGGCTTGAGTAGACCAATTCCAGTTAGCTCAAACAGATTCAATCCTCACTGATTTGTTTTTAATGGCTTTTAAATGAAAGAATAAAAGTATTTATTTATTATTCCCTTTCTCCTCCGTCCCCTTTTATATTTGACATAATTCTTTCTTAAATCTTACTGAAGTCAATGAAAATATCAACTGCATGGGTTGTGTAGCACATTTTTAAGGAATGTAGGTTGTCTTTAGTTAGGGAAGTGCGACCTGCTAGAGACCATATTGTTGATGTTGTAGCATGTTCTTGCATGTTGGTTCTGTCACCACCTTGTCTCTCATGAATTGTGATACAGGCTGCAGCTTTACTGAAGGTAGCCACAGTTGCCAACTGTGGAGCTGGAGTTAACAACAAAACTTCCTGACTGACTTTACTGGGACAAAAATATTTAATGCTGTGCTGTCTCAGCTCAGAATGTAAGGGTCAATTACAACCACCCCAGCTGAACCACAGAAATGCACAGGCATCACACACACATCTCTTAAATCTCTGCTAAGGAAGTGGAATGTGTATTGACTTTCAGCATGATTGGTTTCAAATGACAAGTATACTGCCAAATAAAATAAATGTCTACTAGGCAACATATATATAGCTAATACTGTTATTTTGCAATTCTATCGCTATATGGCAACAAATATAAGTATGTCACCAATCTTTTGTTGATAACTTACTGGTTTTTCTGGTGTATAAGGTAATATCTTGTCTTCCTTGCCTTCCCTCTCCCTTTGAAATAAACTACTCCTGCAAATTCAAATCAAATAATAATAGAGAAAATCTTTGATCTCACCTTTATCTCATGTATATTATACTGTGTTAGAGAGTGTCAAGGAATAAGATTTCACTGAAAGCTTGAATCCTTCCTGTTTAAAATTCTTTACCAAATATTTTTTCTTTATTTGTACTAGACTTTTTCTCTCCATTATATCTTCATGGAATTTTGCTTTGCTTAAGATAAATTTCTTTTTTAGCTGAGATTTTTTTCCCTCAGGATTTCATTTCTATTCCCCAAAGATAGTGACGTCATATCAACTTATATTGCCCATTTATTTTTTAATTGTATTCAATTTGATTACCAATCACAGGAAAAGTTATATAATTAATACAGAAGTAAATTATAATCACTATGTTAATCAGAATAGCTATATATGGTATGTCCTTTTACACTGCTTCAGAGCATATATTTCTGTGACATTTCATAAACATCTTTAACTCTGGTTTAAAACTTGGTCAATATAAATAGTTATGTTCCTTTTTTGTGTTTGTCCTTTAATTTCCTCAGAAATCATCTGGTCGTGGAGAATTGCTGGTCTCTCTCTGTTATCAGTCTACAACAAACACACTCACTGTCGTTGTTCTAAAAGCCAGGCATCTACCTAAATCGGATGTGTCAGGATTATCAGGTAATGGTTTTAATAATGAATATGTCCTAAGAATTTAAAACAGAATGGCAAAAGACAGCTGAAATATGTCATCTCAGAGACTAAAAATATTCCATACATGCAGAAATGGTGTTTCTATTATTGACAGCCTATTCATTTGATTCATATCTAGGTCAATGCTTTATTTCCAGGGTATGTACTTTACAAATTTGTTCTTCAATCACATCAAAAAAGGTGACATCTGTTAGCAGTGGAAACCAATGAATTTTATGATTGTCTTGAACAGAACCCATCTGCCATAAGCGTGGGATGTTGTTTGCAGATACCAAAAGCTTTTATTTATGACAAAAAATGAGTTTATTTGTAGAAGCTCAGTATTGAGTGAGATCATCATATAATTTATCTCAGAAGAAAAGCAGCCTCTTACCTCTGTGTTGAATTTGGCCCACTGAGCATGAATGGTTTTTTGGCAAGGTGAAAAGATGAGCTGTGCCAGTGCTGGGAGGAGGCTGCAGCATGACACATGATTTATTGTGGGCCAAACTTGGGGTGCACTAAGAGGGATCAGGTTTTATGCTCTCTTCTCCTTGTCTGCTGCCATTTTGCATTCAGTGGAACCTCCTCTGAAGCCAATCCTAGAATTGCACATAGAAAACACATTAAGGCTATATAACATAATAACATTATAAAGTTTAATGTCCTGTATATATGACTGCCACACAAAAAACAACAGTACACAAAAAGGAGCTGTACCACCACATCTGCTGCTGCTTCTTTATAGAAGTTATAGTCATTCTTTCACTCAATCTTATGAAAGAAGCAGAAGAGGAAGTAGTTTTGGGAAACATTGAATAATTATCACTGCAGCCAATTTTTTATACTGCATATTACCTGAAAAGTTAGCCTATCCTGAACCCAATTCAACAAACCTACATGTAACTCTAATCAAATTCCATTTAAATCTTCCTTTTGATCTAAATTTTGTTCACATATCAAAAGAAGTTATGTATATGGAGCCCAACAATTTACTTGACTTAAATAGAGGATATGTACTTTTAAAAATCAGCCCTAAAAAAAATCAGATAGTGGTGTCTTCACAAAGACAGCATGACAACCAGGTGATCTCAATAGACCCACCTGATGTTTACCTAGATGGGAAAACAACTTGCTAAAAAGCCCTTCTTGTCACAGCATCCACCTGGACCCTATGGAACATCTATTGTTTACTGCAGCTCTTACAAGTAAAGCTGTAAAATTTGTTGGCATTTCCTGCATCTCCTAGGAGAGCCTTGCTGACTATAATGGGAGTTTCTGCAAGCAGTGATGTTGCACCTGGACTCCTACTCCATTTAAACAGTTTTCCATTATTTTCTATTTATCAATGAGGCCAAGTGCTATAGATATTATGGTGTCAGTAGCATACTGCACTCAGGACAGTCAAAATTTCCTCTGTGTCTTTTCCCTCATCCCAACATTAATCCTGGAAAAGGAGGAAGGTGAAGTGCTGTTTCTATGGGATAAAATACGCAATTCCACAATTCAACCTTCCTGTGAAGAGGGAAATTTTTTATACTCAGAAACTCTTCCATTTTCACAATCTCCTTGATTTCCATGGTCACTGAGGCTGAGTAACCTTTATTAGCCCAATAAAATAAAGTGGAACTCTTTAGACTTCTCCAGTAGCTGGTCAAAGGTGAAAGAAAACTTCCTCTAAAAGAAAATGGAAACCAGTATGAATCCACTGATTGATACTGATTTTTCTATTTCTAATGCTTGTATGACATAATAATTTCAAAGCTAGTGAGTGTTTTTATTAAGCCCTGGTTTAGAAATGTTCATTATAGTAATAGAATATGAAAGTGAAGCGGTATTCCATTACAACCAGCTTCCGGTAGACTATTGTCAGTTCAAGGAAAAACATAACTTTTACTTATCCAACTCTTTCAGCCTGATAACTGTGATATAAAATGTGTAAATACTGTTCAGCTTTAGTATTATTTTAGAAAAGTGTTCAGAAGTTCTTGATTATTAACTTGGTTAATTATTTACATTAACTATCATGTTTGACTGGGTTCAGTAGAGAAGATTTTGTACTTCATCACTACACCATGAGAACCTGGAAACAGGCCCACAATTTCACTGAATAAATGTCAAAGTATTTGAAAGGGCTCACTGAAAGAATAAATATGGCCATTATTGAAGACAATAGCAAAGGAACCTCACAACAATTAAATAATTATGATGAATGCAAACACTCAAAATTGGTTGACAGCTAAAAATATGGACATATATGGACATTTTCCTTTTCCATATTCAACAGTAGTACAGCACAAGTGTAAAGACAGATATACATTCCAACAGCAAACATACACTTACATTTAAAGTTTAGTGTCAAATCTGTTCAATAACAATTGGTGGCCTCAAATTAGTCAGGTAAATTGTTTTCTATAGGACCCCTGCAGAAATGTTATATCCATTCTCTCAGCCCAACTATATTCACTCCTTTCTGAAGATTTTCTTTTCATGTGTTGGAGTAGTGCTGTTGATTATACCCAAGTAGAATGTGTGGAAAACAAATTTCTATCACACATAAAAGTGTAACGATACATATTTTTCAGAGACCTGTATCATTTTGTGCGCTTTCAGACCATCTTTGAACATTGTAAAAGTGTTGTTGGTTTCATGGACTGCAAGACAGGATTTATCTCATAAAGGAAATATCTGCATTTGGCTGCAGTCTAAACTTCACTACCTGCCTTGAACACAATTTTGGTCACAATTTTGTGACCATAAAGGGAAATTAAAGGGGCTAATTCAGCTGTAAAGAAAAAAAAAATAAATTGGATGAGAAGAATCATCTTTAATAACTTGATACAAATACCCATTGTGATGCAATTATCTTGGATAATTGTGGAATTTACCATAGATTACATCAAGGAATTTCTAAACACTTTTCAATAGCTGATCTGTGCTCTTTTTTTTCATTGCAGACCCTTATGTCAAAGTGAACCTGTACCATGCCAAGAAGAGAATTTCTAAAAAGAAAACTCATGTGAAGAAGTGCACCCCCAATGCAGTGTTCAATGAATTGTTTGTCTTTGACATTCCTTGTGAGGGCCTTGATGATATCAGCATTGAATTTCTGGTTTTAGATTCAGATAGGGGGTCAAGGAACGAGGTCATTGGCCGGTTAACCTTGGGATCTTCAGCAGAAGGAACAGGTGGAGAGCACTGGAAAGAAATTTGTGAATATCCTAGGAGACAAATTGCCAAATGGCATATGTTATGTGATGGTTAGCAGGTTAGAGAGGGGATGGATCTTAAAAAACTATATATATTTCCATAGGCAAGGAGCATTTTTTTTCTTTGTTATGTATAATTACAAGCTTTTAACAACAATTTTTTTTTTCAGAGGGGGCAGGATGTTGAAATAAACTTTAATTGAATTATTAGAACAGAAGGTAACTTAATTTTCACAGTAAATAATCGAATTTCTATTTCATTAAACTTTAACATGATCAGTTTAGATTAATATTCTTCTAGAGTTTAAGGCGGCCTCTAAATTTTGAAACACTGTAAACTTCAAGAAGAACAAACTATGTTTTGAAAAAGTAACTTATTAGTGACTCATATTTAGAAGAAGATAACCTTACTACAATATATCCAGAAAAAAAACCACCTGTGGCTTACTAAGGAAGGGGATGGATCTATAAAAGCCATGGGGATTGAGAGTGAGTGGTGGGGGAAAATTTCTTCTGCCCCTCCACCAAAAACCTTCTTTTATGAAAATTTAATTATTATTTGTATTTTTGGTTACTTATACTTTGATCATCCCAAAGAACTAGCGTATTTTCTGTATTTTGCTTTACATATCACATTATGTAAACTATTTTTTTTACATGTTGAAATATTGTATAATTAATTACACTTGGACTTTTTTAGTGAGTTTATATATATAATTTATTTTATTACAGTGACCAAAATAGATACATACTTCAAACTAATGATAAGTTAGCATACATATTTTTTGTTAAAAGGGCTCCTTTACGGGTGACTGTACACATTACAGTATAGCTAGAATTTGGGGTTAGATATGGCTTGCATTTTTTTCCTCTAGGTAGGATTACACTTTAAGCATTTCAAGCCATACAAAAGAATTTTTGTTGAGATGAGGTAACATTCAGGATATTACAATAAATTACTTTTCACCAAATAAATTTTAATGTTTCACTAGTACAAAAAAAAAAAAAAAAAAAAAGTTGTTTTTTTTTCATTTCAATAAAGAATAAACAAATAGTGAGACAAAGAAGAAAACCTTATTCTGCTGTTTAACTTTCTGTGTTTAACCTCCTGGAATGTAACAAAAGCCATTACAGTCAGTTCCAACATACAAACTCCAGTGCATTTTTCAAATTTTGCAGGAGAGGAAATCAAATTCACTTTATAATTTCTCCAATATTCTATAGCCAAAGTACTTGGAAAGTGCTTTGATTATATGAATTAATGTACGTTACTGACTGTATTGGAAATGGTGGTGGTAAGGAAAAATAGCATCCTGATTTCATGTCAGTGTGACACGTCTATTAAAAATTAAATTGTGTCAGGCTGAGGAAATATCAAGTGTAACAATAACAAGTGTACAAATAAAGCATTTAGACCTGTGAAGTTTAGTCTTGGTCACAACAGATAGGTTTTTAGGCTGTCAGAACTATAGCACAACTATAAGCAGATTATTTCCTAAAGTTTGTGCACTAACTTCTGATACAGAATTGTTTGCAAGTATTAGTCCTACTTCATTTTCAAATACAATATATATAAAGAAGATAGTGATATTCGTTGTTGACATAAGAACGGTTAAAAAAGTGGAAAACCATTTTTAGTATTTTTACATATGTCATTTGTCACGTGTAATCCCATTTGAGTGAACAAGACTACTTAGGAATTAAGGCACAGCTCATTGTGAGTAAAGGTAGCAAAATGGGCATGCCAGGTTAGAACAAACCAAACATACATTGAATGTCAATCTATTTTCATTAAACAGACCGAGGTCCTACTTAAAACTGTTGGGGATTTGTTGTCTACTTTACCTGTTCTCATATGGCCAAATTATGTTTGCAGGAAAGGACACTGAAATATGAAATATGCAAGTAGACAAATAGTACTGGAAGAATTCCATTGAGGCTCTTCCAGGTTTTGTGTCAGTATTTTCTCCAGTTTTTGAGAATGTGTTTGATACAACAGTGTTTATAGATTTCTGTAAAAATACATTTTCAAAATAACATAAACATGCTTTTTATGATAATGCTAAATGTAAAAATATTGCGTATTGTATGTATAAAGGAGAGGAATCTTTTTTTATTATTTCTTTAGAAAGCTGATTAACTGCTTAAGGGCTAGAGTTTACCAGCCACATTCAAGCAGAGCTAATCCAAAGCCACCAAATGAAAGATGCCCACAGGCTTCAGTGGGGTTTGAAGTGCAATCAGGGAGCAAAACTCCCTAGTCAAACCAGAAATGTCACTGGGACCATGGATATGGAAACATTGTTTCATCCAATGGAGACTGGGAGAGTTTAGATCAGTATGACACAACCAGATCTGTTACAATTTCTAAAAATTAAAGAACTGAGCTGGAAATCTGGAAATGATTGTATCAAAGATGCAATCATGGGGCATCTTGCAAATAAAATAGATGGAGATTTCTGTACGCTGGCCCATAAGTAGTTCCTTATCTTTAAAAATCAGATGACAGGCATCATTTGTCTCCAATGAACACAAAACACAACATTAGGGGATAACAATTTATCTTTTTTAATTAATGCTGGGCTGTGATGATCATCTTTCATTTTGCATCCAACAAGCCATCACCAATTTTTTTAATTTTTTTTTTTAGTTTTTATAGCAGCTTAAGGGTCAGTATTTCTGCCAGGTAAATGGCAATTTTTGCTGGGGGTAAATAAGAAATTTTGTTGGGAGTTGGAATAGGAAAGGGAAGCCAAGGCATTTTTATTAAGTCTAAAAAAAACACTGTAAATAGAGTTTTTTTTCATTTAAAGCAATTCTCAGTTTGAAAAGTTGAGTAAAGACAACTTGTAATGCATTTTAAACCAGAAAGGGGCAGGAGAGCGAATGTAGGCCTGTACTAAGGTGAGAAATTCTGCTGTTTTATAAAGTATTCAATTCTCATTGTGAATATCTTGAACTCTGTTAAGGATACTGTACTGTATTAAACATGTAAAAAAAATGATGTTTGTCTAAGTAGCTTACAAAAATAATAACTCCTTGAATGAGAGACTATCCATGTCTGGAGATCTGTCGTAATTAAATACCTGATTTGTTATGGTGTTGTAACTTAATAGAAGCTATTCAAGAGGAAGCATGGTGTATGAGACTTTGTAAGTTATTTGTGCTGGTTCTGTATGTTGTGCCATGTGTGTAAGACAAGAATAAACTGCTGCTTTTGTTCATTCCATCCCACCTATTATCCCACCTATGTATCTTTTTTTTCCCCCAAAGATTCCTGCTGTTGTTTGTGTTCATGGTCTACTCTCATTCTTCTATAAGAAAACATTTGACTTGCAGTCTTCCTCTTCTCACAGAGATGGATTAGGCTTGTTCTGACAAATACTACCCAGGCACATCACATGTTCTTTATTCCCAGCTGCTTGCAGAATATGAGTCCTGAACTGTACTCTGCACTCAGGCTAGAGCCAGGAACATGGCCCATGACAGAAGATATGAGTCTTATAGGGACAGATATACAGATGCAAACAAGAAAAAATTCTAATATATTAGGCAGAAGGAGCAAGATTAAAGTAAAATTATCCCACTGTCATTCTAGTTGTTATTTACCCTGGCCAATCATGCTGTGCCACTTTTTCAGACAAGGAAGTTGTGTCAGGCTTCAGCTTGTCAGGTGAGTTTGGAAGTTGAGGTAGAGAAAACAGTCATTCAAGTGCTAGACCCGAATACAAACTGTTGTGCTCACTAAGATTATTGGAGTATTTACTGGCACAGAGACAGAAGTCATGCTGGGAAAGGAGAAGAGAGCTGCATCTTGGATACATACTGACACAATTACTCCCATTGTGAACTCCAGCACCTGGAAGGGTTCCCTGATCCTTGTAGCAGAAATCAATTGAAGGATTCACTAGCCAGATGTATAAAATACAACATCTTCCACAGTTATAAGCTGGTATATTCTCTCTAAAAAATTTCCTGTCCCCAGAAGACAGGTCTTAAGTATAATACTGCTCTACTCCATCCTATGCACACACTTAATTTCTCTGCCTTGCCTTGTACAGTTCTCCTAAAACAATGGTGATTCACATGGTTTGCATTCCAGGCCCACTTCTTCAGGATGGAGATCAAGAATGTCTTTATGATTTGATCAAGAATATCTTTGTGTTTTCCAAATACAATGCAAGTGAGCCTTGGGGTGGAGTCTCAAAGCTAATGTTATGATTGCTATTTGTACCTCAAGTTGCTGCAACAGACCACTGAGAGAGCTCTCACACATATCCTCTTTACAGGATAAATCCCCAAGATCTAGCACTATTCTGTAAGTTCGTTGTATTTTATGGCATCATGGATAAAAACATACTTAACACATGGTAAATTTACATAAACACAGATGGCCATACACAACACTTTTTATTCCTAAAACAAGATTCAAATATGGTCTATGTAAGCTGCTATACTTCATGATGTCTCATGGAGGTGCTGAACAACTCACTGCATTCTTGCAGCTGCTGTAAGTGGCACTGACACTTATTTGCTTTGCTGATGGTGACTCCTGAGCAATTATCTCAATTCAAAAAGTTCTACCCAGTTGTCACAGGCTTTTTCCATATTTTTAACCCTCCATCTTTGGGCTGAGAGCAGCACTGTAGTACTGCCTACAGTTGCAGCATAGAAGAACTATATAGTTAGGTAGAATCAAAGGACCAAAATCAGAAAAGAAGAAAAATGAAAGAAGTTAAATGCTTTACTATGTTTTTACTATGCCTCCATTGTTATGCCATTATTGTCACTGAGTTCTTCCTTACACCACCAAAGAACATTCTGCAGTCACAAGTGTGAATGCTCTGGTTTCACCACCGCCAGCAACAAAATCAGGTGTTGTCCTGAAAAATCTGTCAACTTCTGCTTCAGCCTCAGCTGCACCACATAAGCCCTCACACCTCTCACCCTACCCCCAGTACTCTGCAGTTACCCTTGACATGCTCTGAATAAACCCTGGCAGCACTGTTCATACCCAGATGGAAGAGCTGTAATACTCCAAGGGCTGGAAAAGCTTTGGCAACAACATGGGTCCTGGTCTCATTGCAAGGACCAGACTTCCTAGGATATCATCAGGGTAGGTTGGCAGGTTGGGCATCCCTCCCCATGAGGATGGTGTCTCCAGTATCTCCCACTCTCCTTTTCTTCTCTGTGAACACATACCCTGTGTTCCTCCAGGCTGAGGATGACTCCTTTGTCCCATCCCTGGACACTGAAAATCTCACCAGTTTCTGTCATGTGGCAGTGCCCACCCTCACTATTCACTCCTCCTGAAGCTGCAGCAGCCCCAGCCACGTAACTCCCACATATTTTAGAGTTTCTGTAATTGTGTAACTGCTTCTTCTTAAAAAAGCAGCATGTAATTCACCCTGCAGATCCTGTGGGATTTCTTGCTGTGAATCTTTCTGACAGCAACATGCTCTTAGGTCAGTAAAGAACAGGTTGGGTCTCACTGGAAAATGCTCAGCCTCCTCTCATCCTGACAAAAGAAATTTCACTCATTACTGAATCTTTTTCTTCTCTTTGGACAGTCTCTCAAGAAGGTTTTTTATAGGTGACTGAGCTGTAAGAAGATGTGGTTTTGCATTTTTGTAAGTGGATGATGCAGCATGGAATTTGGTTTAAATTAAACATGCAGGACTGTCAGGTCTCACTATAAGTAAGTGCTGTGCTACTGAAAGCAGCTTCACTGGGGCTGAGCACACACACAGAGCTGAGGTAGCAGTCATGTGCAGGAGTTCTGAGTCATAGCATTTTGGATTGTGACTTAAACTAGAACAGATTGTTTGCAATATAGGTTAATGTTGCAGAAAGGTCCCCATCTTTCTTTCTCATAAGAAATACTGTGTTATGAAAGGCTCTAGTTCTTAAAAAAAAAAAAAAAAGAAAAAAAAAACAAAATAAAAAAAAAAAAAAAAAAAGAAAAAAAAAACCAGCACAAAACCAACCAAACAAC